CTATGGGTACCCAATGCAGTACCTACATTAGTATAATTACTAAGAATTTTCGAAGTACCCATATCGGGTACCTTGCTGAGGCTTTCTCAGTACATGGGTACCTTGAACTCAGTACTTTCTCTAGGGTAATAACACACATTGAAATATTTAGTATCCTGTTTATTTTTTCTTTCACCTGTAACAAAAGAATGAATAATGATCTAGTAAAATTATTTTTCTAATTGACTAAAATAAATTTAGATCCCTGTGCTAACGGAAAAGATCAACAAAACAAAACAACTGCACAGCGACCTGATTTTTGGAAAGGTGAGAAAAACTAATTGCAAATCGCCTGTTTTCTACTACATTCATTCATTTCAAGTTCTCGACTCTTTGTACAACGATGTAAATAATGATAAACAACGGAATCAGTTCGATGGCTTAAGTTCTAACCAAAGCATAGATTCGATTATACCACTCGATCAAAGTAAACTAATTTTGACGATCAATTATCTTCTTAATTGTGTACCTTTCTTCTTTATAGAAAAACTTCGTGCTCGTCAGTTTCGATTTAAGTGTCCGCTAGTGTCTCGTCAAAATATAGCCAATGTCGAAGATACATATGGTGTTCGATTGGGCACTGATATGCGACTTTGTGAAGGACCCTATGTAATTTTACATACACATCTACTTAAGGTTCATAAACTTAATCGACCCATTGCGACACTCTTAGTTGATGCCATTCAAGAAAAACAAATTGAACAAATGGAAATATCGAGTTTGGAAATGGAAGTAAATGAAGGAAAAGTAGTTTAGCTACTAACCTCTTTTATGATCGAACATTCTTTTTGTAAGCATTTTAATTATGACAAAAAAGTCTATAGTGTAGTTTGATATCGCGTTTTGCAGTTTTGGATTATTTTATGTTTTCAACTGTTTTTTTAGCAAGATTTGTTAGGGTAGCTGACAGGTTTTTCATGTAAATGATAACATGTATTAAATATTAGCAAAAACTCTGTAAGGAACTTAGAGTGTCTAATGATAGCACACTGTTTTACACTGCAAGAAGTGCGTTAAAGTCAATCGCTTTTTGGGATGGTCGTGTAGACGGATATGGCAGCTATCCTTCCCTAGAATATCAACTTTTTAGCAAGTAAGAAAATATGAACCAGAGCACTTGCTCAAGAATGGATCAGAATAGCGGACATCCTTGGAAACTTAATTGTTTGTAAGCTTAAATATTAAAAACCAGCAATGACTCAAACTTACTAACGAAAAAATGATCTGGATTTGATAATTCGCACAGAAAAACGTAAATCTCTTTTCCAGTTTTGGATCTTTCTATACATTGGTTTTGGTATTAGTCGAAGAAGTTCTTTAGCCTTCTGCCCTCGGAATCTATTTTTCACTCAAAACACCGAATCACCAATATAAGGACATGGGCGGTTGAGTTGCAAAAATTTCCATCACTATTTTTGACTTTTTCCTATCAAAAATGTGTCTAGAGGTTACTAGAAATATTTTCTATAATTCAGCTTCTCAAAATTTTAATACGAGATGTTTGGCGTCTCTAGAGGATTCCAGGATTTCTGGAAACTTTTCTTCTCGTATTTCTCCATGGTCACGGGTCTAGGAGCAGAATTTCATGCTGCTCACGAATGTTCAACTTTAACAAGATATGGGGCTCAGCGATGCCGTCAAAACTACGATCGAATCAATCGGATCGTTCGGCGCAATCGTAGAATAATGTAAAGCGCTTATCTGTGATGTTTGTATAAGAGAGAAAATATATAGAGTACTGTGGGATAAAAAGAATCAGTGCACGAAATTTTCTTCGTAATTTCACAATTTCTCATCCATTTTTAACTGAATAAATTCGATACTAACCACGTTGGCAGAGACGATAACTATGCACGCACTAGTGCAAAACTTTCCTGAAAATGAGATATATTAAAATGGGAGTGGAGTGGTTTTTATTGACTCTCTTTTTATCCGCACAGGGTAAAAAGAGTCAGTTCACTTATGTCGATAGGCTCAAAAGAGTCAATTTACCTGCTGTTAATTTAAAATATGGATCAGATTACGACTAGAGCATGGTTAAGATAACCTGGAATTTTAGTTTATCCTAAAATTTCTCTCTTTTTAGCAACTAAATGCCAGTTTTTGCATATGATAAAGATGATAGTATCATTAACAACTTTTACACTCATAGTAGTACTAAAATCAATTTTGGGAAGTCTGTACAGATGCTCCTTTGAAATCCCTATGGATTTCAACGGATTGACTCGTTTTACCCCATTAAAATGAACGGGTGACTCCTTTTCACTCCAAAGACAAACATTTTAAAAATGACACGTTTTATTGTGGTCTAATTAGCTTAATGAAGGTAATGAATGTAAAGATCAAAAGCATATGGTTCGATAGAGGAAGAGCACAGCTTACAATGATATAATTTTTAATTAATTAGCGTTCAGCGTTAATGAGCTGCGATGCTTCTAAAAATCTCCATGTATTTGAATAGATTGACTCTTTTTACCCTATCGACATAAGTGAACTGACTCTTTCTATCTCGTGTGGGGTAAAAAGAGCCAATAAAAACCACTCGGCTTCCATTTTAATATATCTGGAAAATCAATATGAATTTTTAGGAATTCTTTTTTGCACTAGTGCGTGCATAATTATTGTCTCTACCAACGTAGTTAATATCGAATTTGTTTAGTTAAAAATGGATAAGAAATAGTGAAATTATTTGTAGTATAGTGAAATTTCGTCCACTGAGTCTTTTTATCCCATAGTTCTCTAAAATCTATATTTTCTTCTCCATTTGATTCATTTTTTTTCTATAGACTACTTTTCATTAGCTCGTACATATAACACACCAAAGAACACATCAACTATGCTAATTAATTATAGATAATATATATATTCTCTTTGACCTTATCACTTGTTAATATGATTTTAAACCAACTGTAAAAATGGTTTTTCGCCACCATTGTCATAATTAGGAACTCTTTAATTAGGCTACTGTAGACACAGAAACTGATTGAAATATACAATATATATATATTATATATAATATACAATATATATATATATATA